ACACTCAAATGCGTCTTGGGTTCAATCCCAGGCGCTGGTGTGAGCCAAAAGCAACAACAAAGAGACAGGGCAGGCCTAAAGCCACTGAGGCACGCACACCTCACAGCACCTCCCCAGAAGACCTCAGTGACCCGAGGGGGCCGGAGGAGAACCAGGGCAGCTGCAGGAAGTCAGCCAACCCCCTGCAGTCAGGACACCTCCCTCCCCTTCTTCATTTCTGGGGCTGGAATGATAGTACAACGGGTAGGGCAGTACAAGGGGTAGGGCGTTTGCCTTGCACGAGGCCGACCCAGGTTCAAATCCCAGCATCCCATATGGTCCCCCGAGCACCGCCAGGAGTAATTCCTGAGTGCAGAGCCAGGAGTAACCCCTGAGCATCGGTGGGTGTGACCCAAAAAGGAGAAAAAAATAACACCTTAATCCTCTTCCTCATTTTGCTCCCCACAGCAAGACCTTCGACCTCTTACAGCCACAGCCCACAGCCCAGACCAAGGGACCTGTACTATAACAGACCAGTTCTCGTCAGCAGTTCGATTTTTTTTTTTTTTGGTCCGGGAGATAGACTAAGGAACTGTTTCAGATTAGGCTCCTGGTCCAGAAGGTCAATAAAGGGAAAATGGGTAAAAAATTCAAATAAGACCTGGGGATTAATAGTATTTGATCAATACACATTTTCCTGCGTGGGTATTTACAGCACAGCTGTGTGAGATGTAAATACTAAATGGATAAGAGAGGGGGTTTATAAAAACTGCCCTTCTGGGCAACATTTTTATGACCGTAAAGTAAAATCATTTCCATATCAGGGGCTGGAGAGATAGCACAGCGGGTAGGGCGTTTGCCTTGCACTCGGCTGACCCAGGTTTGATTCCCAGCATCCCATATGGTCCCCCGAGCATCGCCAGAAGTAATTCCTGAGTGCAGAGCCAGGAGTAGCCCCTGTGCATCGCTGGGTGTGGCCCAAAACCAAAAAAAAAAATCATTTCCATATTAAATGTTTGAAAAAGGAGATAAACACTTTGAAAAATGAGTTAGGGCCAGAGATGCAGCTGGGAGTGGGGGTGGGGGTGGGGGTTGGGGGGAGGGATATGTGCTCACCGCACACAGGATCCCCTGGATCCATCCCCGGATCCATCCCGGCACCAGAGACCAAACCCAGCTGAGGCCGAAGGGGCTCCCTCCTCCCCCGCCCTCAGTGGGAAGGACGGCCCCGAGCCCACAGCTCACGGCGCCCCAGCACTGAGCAGGGCCCCACCCTTCCACTGCGCCCAGGAGTAGTGAGTCCCCTCGGAAGCACACTGCAAGGCAAGGCACTGGGGGCACCGGGCCCTCCCCCCAGAGAGGATGGCGAGAAGTCCACAGAAAAGCAAGCTGGAAGGAAGAGGTGGGAGACCTACCCAGTTTTTCATCTGTATGTGGTTTCTGAACCACACCTAGAGGCGCTCGGGGGAGCCTTATGTGGGGCCCGGGATCCAAGTGGGGCTGGCCGTGTGCCCGTGGACTCCATCTCTGCTCCCTCCATTCAGTTAAAAAAAAAAAACCAACCGAGGCGCATATGCTGCTTGCGCCCCCGTGGCCGAGCATACACTGGTACCCGAGCACGTGTGCCGCCCGCATCTCCCCTCTTGAGATGCGTACTTCCACGCTTTCGTGTCTAATGCTAGGAGGTGTGTAGGGGCTCTCTCCGCCCTTGGAGAAGCCTGTGTTCTCTCTCGAGTAAGTTACTCTCTCCCTCTCTCCCTCTCCACACCTTAAAAATCCTCCAAATAAAATCTATTTATTTCACTGCTAAAAACAAAAACAAAAACCAATTGATTAATCACTGGCCTGTTGTTACATTTAATTTTTATTTTATTTTGGTTTTTTCTTTTCGGGTCACACCCAGCGATACACAGGGGTTTACTCCTGGCCCTGCACTCGGGAATGACCCCTGGCGGTGCTCAGGGGACCATATGGGATGCTGGGGATGGGACCTGGGTCAGCCGCCGCCCTCCCCACTGTGCTATCGCTCCGGCCCCGCTCCGTTCAGCTTTAAACCAAATTTTTGAAAATTTACTTTTGTGAGACAACAGCCTTCTGGAACCATCCAGGAGAGGGGAAGAATGACAGAGCACAGGTTGGGAGAAGTCTTGGGAAGAGGAGGGGGGGAGGGGGAAGCAGATGATGGCCCGAGGGAGCAGGTGGCAGAGCGTGACGCCAGCGCCAGCCCTACTCTCTGCCTGGCCCCGGACCAGTTCATCCACCGTGACTCGATTTCCCTCTCTAATCGCAACCACCCGTGGGGATCACTGCAAGGTCAAATGCATCAACACCGGTGAGCATTCAGCTGAGTGCTTGGCACATCAAGCCATTAGTGCTACTAGTGAACAGAATTCCATAAAATCGCCAACCTCTGGCCACTTGGACCCACAAGCATGATTTTCTGTAGGCCAATCTAACGTCCTCGTTACTTCCTCTCCCAGCCTGGGCTGCTGAGGTCCCGGGGAGCAGGAGGGCCTCGGCCAAGCAGCCCCCCACCCACCCTGATCTGGGTCCCAGCTGGCAGGAGGGCTCCAGGCCCCACCTCTCGGGGAGCAATTGGACCCAGCTGCGGGAGGGGACACCAGGTCTGGAATCGGGGTCTTGAGGCTCCAGGCCTGGGGGGAGGAGCCCTCTGGAAGTGCTCTCATAAGACTGCGCTCCCCGGCTGGGTCCAGCCTTCTGAGGACTTGGGGCACGGCCGTCCCTGTGCTCTGCGACTCCCACTTGAGCCCCCCGGTCACCCAGGACTGTGACGGACTCGGGTCAGCTCGTAGGCGGCCGCGCTAGTGCAGTTCCAGTCAGCCCGAGCAGGAGTCACAGGGTCGGGGGCTCTGCGCCGAGGACAAGACTCACTGTTCACGGTGCTCATCTGCTAAGTCCTCCTCACCACGGTGTGAGGAGGAGGAAGGTGCTCTGAGCCCCGACCCGCGGGCAAGAGAGCCAGGCAGACAGGCCAGAGGTCAAGGCGCTTGCCCTGCACACAGCTGTAGCTGCAGACATGACGGGGGTCCTGGCACCCGGTTCCCAAGCACTGCCCCTGGGTGGGCGGGCGGCAGTGATTCCACCTGCTCACGCCCGGCTTGACGCTGGCACAGCCCTGCGCTCTCTCCCTCGGGCAGCTACAGACCTGTGAGGAGCGAAAGGCGACTGTCCGGTGTCAAGGTCCATCCTGCTTTGCCCAAGGGACCCTGATGCGGCTCCTGCCTGAGCAGAACTGGTGGGCATGGGCCGAGCAGCAAAGAGCCCAGAGCCAGGCACAGGGGCCGCGGAGAGACGGCTGACCCACCCGGCCCTAGCGACAGTACAAAGCCTCTCTAGGCGGAAAGTCACGCACGGCTGTGCCACGCCTGCTGAGAGCCACCCAGAATTCGCCCCCACGCCCGGAGCCAACCCGGGAAGCACTTTCACCACGGATGACAAGGCCCTCGGAGCCGGGCTCGTGAGAGCGATACGTGACCTCGTGGTCTCGGCACCCAAAGCCAGTGTCCACAGTGAAGCTCGGCCCACCCTGGCCCGCTGGTCTCGGCCGTCCCTCATGCTGCCCGCTGGCGGGAGCTGCAGCCTCACTCATGGGTGCCCTGGGCCTGCACTGCCCTGCCCAGTCCTCCCCGGGCAAGCCGGGCCTGGCTCCCCATGCCCCGTGCCAGTGACAGAGCCTGGCTGCATGCAGACCACCTGCATCATCAGGCGGAACAATGAGAGCCACTCGGTGCCCTCTTTCCTCTCAGTGCTCCTGATTTCTTTATACTGTGGGGTCAGGGAACCCAACTCTCGCGCAACAAGGCGTCTGCTTCCCCATCCAGCATGCTATACTACTAGAAGGAATACATGCCCTTTTTAATATTTGATTTTTAGGAATCAATTCTTTGCGGGGGCAACACCCGGCATTGCACAGGGGTTACTCCTCACTCATGTACTCAGGAATCACTCCTGGCGGTGCTCAGGGGACCATATGGGATGCCAGGGGTTGAACCTGGGTCAGCCGTGTGCCAGGCAAGAGCCCAACCCGCTGTGCTATCACTTCAGCCCCGTACACGCGCATTTAAACTATAAACACTTCAGAAAAGCACAAAGCAGGAACACACAATGCAGAGCCGCCCCCAGAGCTAACTACCAGGCATAAGCTCCAGGCCTTTCTCTCTGCAGGTGGCAGAGTTGCCATCTGTTGGCTGAACCCGTGTGCCCCCTTCCTGGGCTTCTCAGGCTGCTGCCCGGTTAACCCACCACCTTGGGAGCTGCTCTTCTCTGTGCTCCCTGCCGCCCTGAGGGAGCTCCTCCGGTACCTGTCTGTGGTGCCACCAGGTCAAGGTCCTACCCAGCGAGGTCCACTCAGCCCACACTCCGACGATACCTGCCTGCACCGCCTCCCCACCGGGGTAAATGCAGACAGCACGGAGTCAGTTCTGCCCGCGCCCCGGAAACGCGCCTCTGGGAGCCCTCCGCTGGCACGTCCACACCCACAATCCTGGGAAATCCTGCTGGTGCCACCCATGGTGTGAGTTCTGGCCACAGGTCACACCCTGCACTGGTCTCTGTGATGACAACAGTCACGTATCCTCTGTCCTCTGCCGGGGGAAGGGCTGGGCCACGCGGCCCTGTCGCCTGCCTTGTGACATCTCGGTGACATCTCCCGCCACACCTCCCCTGACCCACTCAGCTCCAGGGCCCCCGACAGCCTGAGCACCCCAGTCCCTGCCAACACGTCTCACAGGGTCCCCCATGTCCCCACCTGCGCTCAGATGTCACCTCCTGGAGGCACCACCAGCACATCATCCCTTTAGACGACTTGATGGCAAAAGCCTTCGCTTCCCTACCGTCCTCCTGCTTGGCTGGTCCCTGTCATGGGGACGCCCTCCGCCTCAGCACAAACGCTGGCCAGAGGGCGGGAGGAAGGTCTCACGGCCCCTGCGGCCACCGCGGCCTCGGTGGGGGCTCGCCCCTCCCCTGAGCCGCCTCCTACTTCTCTGCTCCAGCCCACTCACCTGAAAGTCCTCCTCATCCAAGATCTCCTTCCTCCACTTGACCAAGAAGGCTGCGCAGACGTACAGGTGGAAGTGGGAGAACCCCTCTGGCTCAGACTGGAAGGGAAGAGAGTCAGGCAGTCCTGGGGCCACGCGGGCCCGTGGCCACGGAGCGGGGATCCGGCTCCCAGATGGGGGCAGAGAGGCCCAGGCGGGCGAGGGCGCTTCCCTCGTGGCCACACCGCTGGGCCGGGAGCTGGGGCGGGACCCTCGGGGTGGGCGGGCGGGAACCCTTGGGGGCGGGGCCCTCGGGTGCTGGGCGGGGAGCGCCCACCTGGTAGGTGTCCCACAGGCGGATGGTGCAGCGCAGAGGCAGCTCCCGCATCAGCAGGTTGTTCATCCACCGGAAGGCGAACTGCAGGTATTCGACCTCGTACCTCCTGAAGTGATTGTGTACCTGCTCTGGAACGGGAGGACGTTGGTTCTGGGCCACAGCGAGGGGGCGGTCTCTGAGACCAGCGTCTGTCGCTCTCGCGCCCCCGGCCCCAGGAGCCGGGGAGAGAGGGGACCAGCTGGCCAGGGCCGCGACTGTCCCTGAGGTTCACGTTCCCGACTGCGTGGAGGAGTGACCGTGGGCCATGGCCCGGGAGGCCCAGGTGCCCGCACCACCCCCCGGCCCTACCAGAAGGCAGAGACCCGAGTGCATGACTCTCCCGAGAAGGAAGCAGAAGGGAAAAGAACCTGGGGTCACCTGGGCCACCCTCCTGCCGGACAGGGCTTCTCAGTGTCCCTGACAGACGCTGCAGTGACCGGCCTCTGCCTCCACCAGGGCAGCCACCCCCTGGAGGTCCAGAATCAACCACCAGAGAGCACTGCCCACAGGCTCCTTCCCGGCAAGCCCGAGCAGCTGGTGCCGTTCGACAGCACGGTCCCTCAGGATCGCATGATGGGACCTTTTCTTGCTCGAATTCGAACTGTTCAGGAGGCTGGGCAGGGCCCACCAGCGGTTCTCGGCCAAGCGGGCGGCTGAGGGGCCTGAGCCGTGGGGCTGTGTGGGCCCCTGTGGCGGCGTTGGGGGTTCCAGACTGCAGCTGGTGACATCTGGGAAGGGACTCGAACCCAGTCGGGCACACGCCATAACTGCTGTACCATTTCCCAGTCCTCTTGATAGCATTTTGTTTTTATCTGCTTAATATTTAGGCCACACATGCCAACGCGCAGGGCTTACTCCTGGCTCTGCACTCAGGATCAGTCCAAGCAACTCTCAGGGGACTGTATGGAACGCTGGGGACCGAATCTGGGTCAGCCACTTGCAAGGCCAGGGCCCTATTTGCCACACTGTCGCTCTGGCCACTCTTGATAGTATTTTTTTTCCTATTTTTTTCTTTTTGAGTCACACCCGATGATGCACAGGAGTTACTCCTGGCTCTTCACTCAGGAGTTACTCCTGGCGGTGCTCGGGGGACCATACGGGATGCTGGGAATCGAACCTGGGTCGGCCACGTGCAAGGCCAACGCCCTACTGTGCTATCACTCCTGGCCCCTCTTGATAGCATCTTAAAATCACTGTCCGCCTCAGCTTCTAACCTATAAAACAGAGACAAACCCCTCAGCCTCAGAGGGTTAAGGGAAGGCAAACCGAGAAAAGCCAAGTGCTGACTTACAGCAGTGCCTGGCACGGGACATTCCTAACACCATTTGGGGGGTGAGGGGTGGGGTGTCGAGGGGTTCCCCAGGTGGTCAACGGTCCTCAGTGGTCAAAGGTCCCTCCGGTGGTTCTCAGCCAACTCGGCGGTGGCTCAGTGCAAGGGCCCAAGGTGAGGTGCTGTCCAGGCGTGTAGTGCCAGGATACCTGGGCCACCGTGTAGGACAGGTGCCCGCAAGGCCGTGGCCAGTGATGGGCACGGGACACACGGTACGGCCAGACCTGTAACTCGCTGTGTGCTGTGCTTCACCTCCTGACACCGAGCGACAGAAGAGGAGCCGTGAAGGGACAAGAGAGATGGCACCGGGGTAAGGCACTTGCCTTCCATGTAGCCGACCTGGGTTCAATCCCCGGCACTGCCACGATCTCAAGCAGGAGCGAGTGCCGGCAGTGCCGTTTGCGGCTCAACACACAAAAAAACCACCAGAAAGAATAATCCAGGAAATGCAGCCTAAGAAAGGAGATGTTTCCACTTTTTATTCTGTGTAGGGCGTTTGCCCTGCACGCGACCGACCTGGCCGATCCAGGTTCAATTCCTCCGCCCCTCTCGGAGAGCCGGCAAGCTACTGAGAGATCTCGCCTGCACAGTAAAGCCTGGCAGGCTCCCCGTGACATATTCGACATGCCAAACACAGTAACAAGTCTCACAATGTTACTGGGCCCACTCGAGCAAAATCGATGAACAACGGGAGGACAGTGACAGTGACAGTTTTTCTGACTGTTTTAATTTTGGGGCAATGAGTCTAGAGCACTTCTCTAAGCCAAAGACACAATGAGGATACAGACGTATTTTGAAACCAAATCTACGATTCTAGATCACTAGGCTTTTTATCTGTCAGATCTTCGTGCGAAGAAAGGAAACAAGACTCAAGGCCCAGGGCAGAGAAGAGCAGAGGGGGCCAGGGGTGGCCCGGAAGGGAAGCCGAGACCCTCACGCTTACAGGGAAGGGGTGGGCCGGGCAGCTGAAGGCCGGGAGGAGGGAGTGCTCGGGCAGGAGTCCTCCGGCCCTGTGCTTGCTTGGGGGTCTGGCTTCACTTTCTGGTGTCCTCAAATGCCCCCCGACAAAGGCACGCTGAGACCCCACGACTGAGGGTCGTGAGCTGCTCCGCGCGGGGCGGTGCACTTTCTGGGAAAAGCCTGAATTCTCTCACTGGACTCGGTTTCTCCATGTGTCACAGCAGGGCTTCCCGAGACACCGCATCTCCGTGAGTCCCCTCTGCCTGCCCTGCCTCGTGCCCGCTGGTCCTAACAGGGGTCCTGCTGGGCATCTGCCAGCCCCAGAGCCTGGGTCCCCTCGACACAAGCTGACCACAGCCTCTGGGGACTCTGGAAGTCTGAGCAGAAGGGCAGAAGGCCCTGCCTAGGGCCAGGTCAGAGGATGCAGGGGTGTGTGTGTGTGGGGGGGGGGGGGGGCGGGGGCGTGGCATATGCCTAGGGCAGGGTCCCGGGCTACCTCCGCAGCAGCACTCTACCCCGTCAAGCTGCCGCCATGCTGACAGCTGACCCTACCACCTCACAACCGAGCTCCACAGACGCCAAACTGCCAAAAGCTCCTGGTCTTCTGCCCAGTTAGAGAGCCTGGGTTCTCGGGAGCGACATCTCTAAGCCCTACAGTACTAACAGCCCACAGAAGGCACTGGATCAGAGGGGAATGTAACATAGAAGCCAACTGTGCTCAGTGAATAGGAGCATTCCCACAGAAGGCTCAACTAGCAACTACAGCTCAGCAAACCCTCAGACAAGGACTTAAGGTCCCCATGATGAGATAGGACAATTTTCACAAATTTTCTTTCACTATTTTTTTTTGATAATTTCATCAGCCATTTAGTGGTAACAGCAATATAAAATAAATTACTGTGGGCCTGCTACAGGGGCAGGCCTGAGGAATGGTCGGAAAAACGGGGACAATGGTGGAGGGAAGGTGACAGTGACGGTCAGACTGGGGGCGGAATTTTGAATGCCTGTAACAAATTATTGTGAACAGCTTTGTAAACTACAGTGTCTAAGTAAAGAGGAAGGGAGGAAGGGAGGAAGGGAGGGAGGGAGGAAGGAAGGAAGGGAGGAAAGGAGGGAGGGAGGAAGGAAGGGAGGAAGGGAGGGAGGGTGGGAGGAAGGAAGGAAGGGAGGAAAGGAGGGAGGGAGGGAGGAAGGAAGGAAGGGAGGAAAGGAGGGAGGGAGGGAGGGAGGGAGGGAGGAAAGAAGGAAGGGAGGAAGGGAGGGAGGGAGGGAGGGAGGAAGGAAGGAAGGGGAGGGAGGCAGACCCTTCTAGAGGAATCTGTGAGCCTGTGCCTGGCTGCACCAGCACCAGGGAATTGGAGAAGAAAGCTGAATTTGAAGAGATGCCAATGGAGAAATGACAGACCCTGGTGACAGAAAGGAGCAATAGTGGAGGAGTTACAGCACCAGCCTTGCACCCACGTAGTCCCTGAGCACCACCAGGAGTAATTCCTGAGTGCAGAGGCAGGAATAACCCGAGAGCATCGCCCAGTGTGGACCAAAAAAAAAAGGTCCAGAGTTATGTATGAAATTCTATCAGCAACAGTTCTGTAAATCACATAAGCAGGAATAGAGGGAATCTGATATAATATAATAAAGACTACATATGAGGGCTGGAGTGATAGCATAACTGGTAGGACCCCTGTCTTGCTCAGGACTGACCAGGTTCGATCCCCGGCATCCCATATGGTCCCCTGAGCACCGCCAGGAGTAATTCCTGAGTGCAGAGTCAGGAGTAACCCCTGTGCATTGCTGAGTGTGGCCCCAAAACAAAATAAAACAAAAAAAATCAATTACATATGAAAACCCGACAGAAAACAAGAAAAAGAAAAAAGAAAAGTAGAGAAAGGAGAAGAAAGGGCGGGCTAGGATGGGCGGGGCAGACCCACGCACGCTGCCCCTGCCTACCATCGATCCGGCTGACCAGCTCCTCCAGGGCCTTGACCTTCTTCTGGATCCCCGGCTGTGCGAAGGTGTAGTTATCCTGAAAGGAGCAGACAGCCGGGTGAACGCGCTCCCCTCGGGCTCAGGAAACAGGCCTGACAGCCAGCAGCCTGCTCTACCAGCCGGCACGGGTGTGGGAGGAGGGGCAGGGGCCCACAGGGCAGCATCATGGGGCCCAGCAAGTCATCTCGCACTAGGGAGACGGACTCCAAGGCCTGGGCCGACACACCGAGGACGCAGACCCACGTCCTCAGCCTCCAGACCAGAGGCCTCGGGGCTGTAACGCCAGAGGCCAAGGAGGAGATGCTGAGTGGGGGCGAGCAGGGGCAGGGCGGAGCCTCACCTGGATCCCATCCAGAAGTTTGCTCATGCACCAAAAGCTGTCGGCTTCAATGCTCCGCAGCATGTCCTGAGACAGATTGGTCACGTCGAAGTTCTCCACATCCTCTTCTGTAAAACAAAACATGGAGGCCATCCAGAGGTCTTCTCTGAGCACGGAGAGAGAGTGGTGGCTCGGACGGGGTCCCAAAGGGTCGGGAGGGCCCAGGCTCACTTGGTGTCAAGGAAAGGGAGCCGGCCCCCCACCCGCCTGGTCAGGCGCGCACCTCCCAGGAAGAGCTTCGGGAGAGCAGGGCACCGACAACGGGCCACTTCTTACACCGTGTCCACCAGGTTCAAGACGGTGCTCTGAATTCTTTTTTTTTTTAGTTTTTTATTTATTGAATCCGGCTGGAGCGATAGCACAGTGGTAGGGCGTTTGCCTTGCATGCGGCCGACATGGCCAACCCAAGTTCAATTCCTCCACCCCTCTCGGAGAGCCTGGCAAGCTACCAAGAGTATTTCGCCCGAAAGGCAAAGCCTGGCAAACTACCTGTGACGTATTCAATATGCCAAACACAGTAACAAGTCTCACAATGTTACTGGGCCCACTCGAGCAAATCGATGAACAACGGGAGGACAGTGCCACAGTGCTACATTTATTGAATCACCCTGAGAACAGTCACAAAGCCTTTCAGTTTAAGTCTTGGTCGGTAATGATCATACAATGATCAAACACCCATCCCTTCACCAGTGTACATTTCCACCACCAAGAACTCTGGTATACCCCCCTTCCCAATGCTCCCCCTGCCTGTGTGGCAGATTTCCACTTTACTCTCTCTCTACGTTGATCACATTCAATATTACGACAAAAGAACCACCATTATTATTTGGAATTTTCCCCAACAATCAAACCTGCCAAAAAGACATCAGATAATTTCTTTTCTATTGCTGATTAAGAAAAGCATATGATGTCGCGTGGCCGCTATTGTGGACACGTGATTTTGGATTTCTGATATTTTAGTAATAAGTCTGGAGGGATTTTGGCCAAAAACCACTGGGTTTCAAGATTGGTTTGTGTGCCTCTGGGATCATGGCCATTCAGAAGCTGGAGGAGGCATTCGTGGGTGGTGGCACGTGGTTCAGAAGAATAGTCCTGGTACCCACATACCAGAGCCATGCTTACAGAAGCTCATGGTCACCGGGATTCCATTTGGAGAAGGCGGGAGCTCTGAATTCTTCATTTGTTTTTTTCAAAACGCTCTGTTAGCAAGCAGTAAGCTATAACCCAGCCCCCAGAGATGGTCTGGGAAGAATCTCTGACATCTGTAATCCGGTGAGCTGCCCAGCACTCTCACATGTGCATGTTGTGAGGTCAGCCGGGGCCAGACCCCCTCCACAGCTCACCTGGGAGACGGAATCCCAGGCTCCCGACCAGGCAGAACCAGGACCCGGCCCCCGATACAGGAGAGTGCACGTGATGCAAGATGACCCCGAGCACAGGGGAGCTTGTTGGATCTCGGGGCTTCTGGGTGGGAAGCAGCTCGGCCCTGCAGGGACGAGGGCACAACTGGGCTCAGTCCCAGCACAGGGAAACAGTGAGCGCTGGAGGGCTGCTATGGCGGAAGGGCGGCTGCCTTGCACGTGGCCGACCTGGGCTCAATCTCCAGCCTCCTACAAGGTCTCCTGAGGTCTGCCAGGAGTGATCCCTGAGCACCACTGTGTAGCTCAAAAAATTAAAGAAAGAAAGGAGGAAAGAAACATTTGGCATCAAGTCTATCTGCTCAGTGTTGCTTGCTCAGCCTGTCCCAAGCTTTAGTTATGAGGATGTTATGATGGTGATAATGACGGGTACACGTGTCTGTGGTGGATTGGGACCAAACGCAAGGCCTCACTCATGCAGGGCAAGTGCTGGACCACTGAGTCAGTTCCATCCTGCTGGGTCTCCTTGAAAGTAAGCTGTCAGGGGCTGGAGCGACAGTATAGTGGGCAGGGCACTGGCCTTTCACATGGCTGATCCGGTTCAATCCCGAGTGCCCCCAGGAGTGACTCCCTGAGGACAGAACCAGGAGTAAGCCCTGAGCACCTCTGGGTCTGAGCCCCAAACCAAAAGAAGTAGAAAGAAAATAATAAACAGGTCACCAATTCTCACAGGAACCCCATACTGAAGAACAGGAGTGAGCTGACAGCTTGTCTGAGACCCAAGCGAGGGTGGGGTCCCCCAGGGGCCGGCCAAGGAAAGGCCAGCTGCTGTCATCTTCCTGCCCGAGGAGCCAGCAGGGAGAAAGCTCTCGGCCCAGTGGACAGGCCACCCCGTGCGCAGAGGCCACGTATGGAAACGTCCTGGGCCACAACCCTGCACCAGGGCAGCTTTTCTCCCCAGTCCCACAAGCCTGAGTTGTGTCACTGAGCATTGGCATCCAAGAAAATGGAACCAGCTCTGCCACTGCAGAGAATGATTAGTAAGAACTGCAAGTGAACATATGATGCTCTCAGTCTCACCTGTATAAACAGTCTTTTCCATCGACAGCAAGGGCTGTGATAACCCTTTCTGGAGGTGCTTTGTCAGAAACAGTTGTGGCTCTGAGGACAACCTTAAAAGTTCAGCTCAAAAATATAGTCACAGTTAACACATGCAGTTAACACAGCTAACACAGTGCTAACCAATGCCTGGCATACAATGGCACCATGTACGTAACTTATTAAAAATTCAGAATGACATGAGAAAGAACTTTACAATATTAAAGGAAAAGAGCACTGTAGCACCGTCCTCCTATTGTTCATTGATTTGCTCGAGCGGGCACCAGTAACGTCCATTGTGAGACTTGTTGTTACTGTTTTTGGTATATCGAATATGCCATGGGGAGCTTGCCAGGCTCTGCTGTGTGGGCGGGATACTCTCCGTAGCTTGCTGGGCTCTCCAAAGAAGGGCAGAGGAATCGAACCCGGGCCGGCCGCATGCAAAGCAAATGCCCTACCTGTTGTGCTATCACTCCAGCCCAAAGGAAAAAAGCAAGGTACAAAATTATTTCTGGTACCCTCTTAACTACTTTGCATATAATACTGATGGGTTTATATAAGCACAGGGGAAAACAGAATAGATCATAAAGTTTGCAGCATCTATTCCCCTTGGGGAAAGGAATTTTCTTCCCCCCCGTGGGCTGGGATATGTAGTTCAATGGGAGGAAGAATACTAATGTAAGCGTGAGGCCCTGGATCTGACCCCTGACACTGCAAAAACATTTTTTCGCTTTTGTTTTTGGGCCACACCTGGCAGTTCTCAGGGAACAATACAAGGTGGCAGTGACCAAACCCAATTCAATCACATTCCAACAAGCATTCTACCTTCTCAACTGTCTAAGCCCCAAATATTTCTTTTCCTTTCTTTCCTTTCTTTTTGGGTCACACCCGGCAATACACAGGGGTTACTCCTGGCTCATGCACCCAGGAATTACCCCTGGCGGTGCTCAGGGGACATATGGGATGCTGGGAATCGAACCCGGGTCGGCCACGTGCAAGGCAAATGCCCTACCCGCTGTGCTATTGCTCCAGCCCCAATATTTCTTTCAAGCTTTGTAAGAATTCTCAAAATTTCTTCAAAAAACACTCTATTTTAGAAAAAGCAAAGACCTACATTGATAATATCTGACTTGTATTACCAATAAAAATTAAGAAAATTTGGTGAAACAAAATAGAACCTATGGCAAGTCAGACTTGAGATGACGTACGTTTGTTGGAGAAACCACAACTCAAAATCTCTTCCAAGAAATAGAGCGATTTTTTTCCCCAACAAATACCGTTTACAAAAAAAAAATGAAACAAAACAAAACCCTTACTGCATAGCACTGTTTTGGGGGATGGTTGTATATATATTATTTGTTAAGTGACAACTCAAAAACCGTGCCTTTTCTTTTCTGTTTTGTTTTCTGGGTCACACCCCACAGTTTTCTGGCTCACTCTGGATGGGCTCAAGGGACCATATGAAATGCTGGGGATCGAACCCAGGTCAGTTGCAAGCAAGGCACGTGCCCTAGTCGCTGAGCTGTCGCTCCAGCCCCGAACCATCTTTTCCTTTGGCCTTCTTATTCCATTTCTAAGATCCTGAGAGGTGCCCCCATGCCAGGTCCCTGTCCCTCTGCTGTCTCCAGCCCTCGACTCTCTGGCCCCGCAGGCGGGGAGCCCCAGAGCCCCGGAGCCCACCACAGACCAGGCCCTGAGGATCCATCCCCTGGGGCCCCGGAGTGGAACTGCTCCGGCCACGGGCCAGGCAGTGCCCAGCAGCCCTTTCTCAGGCTGACTCCCAGCTTCTTTTTTTACCAGACCGGCTGACAGCCCGCAACTAAGAGTCCAGCTGGGGAGATGAGGGTGACACCCACCCGCCTCCAGGCAAGCGACAGAAGCCAGCGCCACGCTGCTCAGGCACGTCCTTAAACGCAGACCTAGAACACAGGCTCGGAAGGGTGTTTCCGGAGGCGGCGTTTCTGGGTGGGAAACCCAAAGAGCAGAGCGATCAGGGAGACAGAGCTGGGTTGCTGAGAACGGCAGGGGAAACAGCCACGGCGACTGTCACCGAGCACCCGCTCGGGACCAGAACGCCCCCGCACCCTGGATGTGGGGCCCAGCAGCTGACCTCAGCTTCTGAGCCTCAGGCACTGAGGTGGTACTGCAAGTGCCAGGAACACGGGGCCAAGTAAGTTAACAAGTGCAAAACGCTAGCCTGCCTCAGCGACACAAAAACTATGAAAATGCACGAGTGTCACCACTAGGCGAGCAGCAAGTCCACTTCTCTCTTGTTCATTTATTTATTTTTTGCTTTTTGGGTCATACCCGGCGATGCAGCACAGGGGTTACTCCTGGCTCTGCACTCAGGAATTACTCCTGGCAGTGCTCGGTGGACCATATGGGATGCTGGGAGTCGAACCCGGGTTGGCCACGTGCAAGGCAGACGCCCTACCCACTGTGCTATCGCTCCAGCCCCACTTCTCTCTTCTTTAAACTGATTCTCATTTGGATTAATCTGAAAATGTACCTTAAGAACAAGTCTGGGGGTTGGAGCGATAGCACAGTGGGTAGGGTGTTTCCCTTGTACCCGGCTGACCTGGGTTCGATTCCCAGCATCCCACATGGTCCCC